GTGGCGCTTCCAGTGGGCTGACGATATTGGACTGGAATGCTTCCATGGAATTATGAGCGACGTCCATTGGCGGTGAGACTTGGCATTGCAAAGCGAACGCCACGTTCTCTATGCGGAGAACGTGAAATCTCGTTCATGATGGAATAACGGACCTCAGCTACCATGTCCAGGAGTACCTGCCGGGAACCGAACGAAGTGACTTTACTACTACCGGGCCTAACAAAGCGACTGGCAATGGCAGCGGTAGGACTTGCTTTTGCAAATCTTAACAGATGCCCCCACCCAAGGCCGTGATTGTTATCGAACACACCCCCCAAATAGAATCATCTCGTTGCTATCGGCCAGCTCAATGACTATACTATGCCACTGCTTACCCTCATTGGATAAGACTTAGGGCTCTATCAACGTCCGCGACCTGACGTGACCGCTGCTCAGAATTCCCTTCCAAAGCAGAGGAACAATTTGAGCTCCTTTGCTGGCCCGTTTGCTCGCATCTTCGCAAATCAGAGAAAGCCAAGCATGGTCTATGTGGGAAAACCCCACCGCCACCAATATTGTGCGGATGGGCCATATCCAAGGATGCAGCATCCATTTCTTTCCGCAGAGCTGCGTCCCTGACAGTTTGAGCTGCCGCACAGCGGAAAGGCCCTCTTCAAATGCTTGCGCCAGGCGCCGCGCGTCTATTTCAAGCTATGGGCGAATGTGTTGCAACTGTCTTGTCAGCACCGCCGAGGGGCCTCATCAACTTTAGCCGGCCGTTGAGACACGGTATCTATACTGCAGATTTGCGGAGTGTCTAGTCAGTATACTAACATTGTCTAGAAACAAGCCAGTAATATCACATGCGGTATACAGCAACTCGGCACCATTAATTACCGCCAGCGACCGGACCCCGTGTTTGGCTTCTCCCCGAGCTTGCAATCTCAGGTTCAGGACCCTAACATGATTCGGCAAGAACCGTTTAGATAGAGGCGATTTAAAAGGTGTATATCAAGCGCAGCTCACGAGAAAAAGCACATTTCGTATGCGCCGCTGCTAGCTAAAAGAAGGACGATTCCTCCGCTGCTCGACAGCACATATTATTAAGCTGACACCGCGCATCGACTAGGCGTAAACTGCAGCCCAATACTAAAGAGTCGGCTTATGATTCTCACACTGGGGCGGAAAAAGGCCTTGATGCAAGCCCTATCCGCCAGCCTCGTCAGTACTCAGCTGAGCGCCGCGAGAGCCCAGAGCTCTCTGCTGGTCGCCGCTTTTGACCCAACAGGGCGACACCAGATGACGCATGCTGCACTAATGCACTGCAAAGTGGTGGCTTCGGCGAAGTCTTGGAAATGAGGGGCAGCGAGCGATAACCTCGTCATCAGCTTTTGTGGCACGCCATATTGGCACATTCATTCGACTGTGCCTTGCGCCCAGTAGGATGATGGCTGCCCCCCACCATATTGGCCACAGAAAGGCGAACCAGACTGTCGGGACTCTGTAACATCAATAAGCCAGAGACCAATCATACTTCTGCAGTCTCCTGCGTTAGCGCGGCGCAAGTTGCGCCCCCGCGGTGACAGTCAGTGGTGCGTGGAGGGCGTCGCCAGCCTGATTATGCGCATGGGATGTGGGCGAGACTGCGAGGCAATGACAAATCATAGAGCATCGTGTGGTCTTGGGCCCAATCAGGCATTTTACTGGTGGCTCAGACAAGGTGTCGATCAAATGCCGCGACCTCGCAGAAACTCAAGCGGCGAGAAGAGGCAATATCACTTTCGACGCCACGGCCGTCGTCGTCGGGGCCAAGCCGAGTACGCTCAAGGGTGACGGTGACGGGAGAAGGCTCAGCGAGCTGAGAGCCAAAGGCCTCGCTAGTACTGCATCACTGCGTACTTGGCTTCTAGTCCTACATTGGGAGGTATTCGGGCACATCTTTATGGGATGTCGTGCTGCTCAACATCCACGAAAACGGGCACGGAAGAAGTGATGTCTGCATTTGCAGCGCTGGGGAAAACATGCACATGATGAGGTAAATCGCTCGGAGCTCTACTCGCAGCCAGCAACACAAGTAGCAGTAGAAACGGATGAGAAGCGGCCTCATGAGGAGGCTTGGGACCGCGGCAACGTCGGCAAAAACAGGCGCGTATCCAGAACCTGTGGCAGATAGCCACCAGAACCCAGCCAGAAAAGAGGGGGGGAGACCAAATGTTGATCTACGAATATGTTTTCAAACTGTCATGACTGATACGCGCCCCCTCCACACCTCCCACTTCATCACACATATGCAAGCCACTCACACTTACGTGTTCCCTTCCTTGTTGCTTGTGTATGTAGGTGGTCAGATTATCTTGCAGAAAGGGGCGTGGGGTGTGCATAACAAAACAGTCAAGGATGCGAGCGCTAGTGAGGCAGTGTGTCGTCGATGTTGCCGCGCGCGTAGCTGAGCAGTGCCCACCCCGAGCCTACCTGTTCTATTGCGACTGGAGGAACTCGTCGCACATGTCAAGTCCCATCTCGTACAGATATGTTTGTTCTATTTCTTGGATTTCCTGTTTGTCAAGTCAGGCTGCAGCCTGACTTGAATGAAAGAGCGGTGCGACGGTGGGTGCTTCTTGCTTGAAGACGGAAGTTTGCCGAGCATAGCCAGCGTACCCTGCAATAGCCCGCCTTGGGAGACTACCTTTCCCTTCAGTCACATCTCTCCATGGTTTGTGACACGAGCCTTTGTCTCACCATATTCCTTGGCGAGCTGGGGAAAGCCAGCGGAGTTGGGCCATTGCAGCAGTGGAGATGCTATTACATGGCTCGAATTGCTGAAAGTGAGCCGTCAAAAGCGGCGTGCCTCCTTGGCGAGGTTTTTCAGAGGCAACGGGCTCTGCTGATAGAAATTGTGATAGTCTAACGGTGGGTTAGACAACACCTAGCTTTCATAATCAGCGCCGATTCTCTCATCCTCCAAGTTCTAGAATGTGGTTGGGTCGGCTCCTGCTGAGAGTTCCATTCTCGACTCTCTGTGCTGCTTCATCACCTCGAAAAAGGCGCCTGCTTACCCAGGCTCGAACTGCGATTAAAATCAAGCTGCTCTTATAGCACATGATGGAGAGAGACTTGTACCGAAGCCGTCAACTGCCAACGACTTTGTTCTGGAGGAGAGTTGAGACGGAAGTTTGAGTTTAATGGCATTTTCATTGCCCGCCTGAACGACTGAGGTTGGTACTAGGTACTATTTCATTAGCAGTATATCTTGTTCGACAAACGGGCCCAAACTGAGAAAACACAAAAGAAAGAGAAAGCAAAGCAAAGCATGTCAACGACCCCTTGGGTGACTCGCAGCCATCACCGATATTGGGCGACTAAGGCGGGGGACCGAATGATAATCTGTACCACTTTCAAGGCGATATACGCAGCGCGACACAATTGTGTATACGGAGTGAGCCGGAGGCCTGTTTAGAACCATGGTACTGGATTCGTCTTTGGAAGCGTCATGAATTTAAAGCGCTGCAGCCATCAAGAGCCCGACCAGGATCCCTACATCTGGGGCCTACTCATTGCGCTGGCGCAGGCGCACAGGAAATTGAGAACCTGACGCGCCACGCTGGATGGTACTCCTGTTTGCCCTTCCGGGCACCGGCGTGCGGCAGTTATACTGCTACCAGGGCAGGGGGGCTGGGTGCCCCGCGCCGCTCCTTCGGAAGCTGGACGAGAGCCATCCGCCGAAGTGGCTTCGTCCTACCGTCGCGATTGATTCGTGTCTCAACGATAAGCCTGGAGGCGCCGCGAGACGCAGCGCGCTGTATTTGGGAGGTGTTGCATGAGGCCGAACCTGTCTTAGAAAACGAAGAAGAAGGAGAGGAGGGGGTGAGGAGGGGGGCTCAAGCAGACTGATGAGGAGAGAAGAAGAAGAAGAAGTGGCTGCCTGAGGTTATTGCTAGGCTCGTCCTGGCCATGACTGCATCGAAAGGTACGTCATCTGGATTCTGCTACCCTTTTCAAGAACGTCGATCTGCCATGAACCGTCTTCTGGTTTGAATAGGGGATAAAGCCCTCTTAAAAAGCGTTGCCCGTCCTGGTTTGGAGTTCGTTATTGAGGAAATCGAGGGAATCAGTACCTAGGTAGGTTTAAACTCAACAAAACGGCCACTAACGGAACCCGCCCCGTCTGATGATGCATGCGGCCCGCGCGGGGCAACGGTTTATAGTGCAACCGCCAACGGGGTCCCCTAACGCTGCCTGGCCCAGCTTCCTTCTCCTGCGCAGTCAATCACTTTCCTTTCTACTCCTCTCCGTACCAGAGTCCATTCATGTACCTATCGCAAAAAAATCCAAATCAATCGCTTTTTTCCCAAGACCGTGTACGGATAGTGATATGTTGCTCTCTCTTTAGCCTAACATGGACCGCACCGAACCACACACCCTTGTCAAACGCCTCTCACCTGGACCAGCATCAGACTCGCCAATTCCATCAGAAGCCTCTGAAACATAATGGCATTACCCAGCACGTTGCGACACCGAAACATTCGCACTCCCACCATTATCATTCACGCTGCCCCGTCTCTCCAACTTATTCGGCGCTGCTAGAGGGGAATGCTGGTATCTTATTAGTTGTTGACCTGGTCGCACGGCCGCTCGTTCGCCCTAGCCGTCTTGTTCGCCGTGCGACCTAGTAATTACTTGAGAATTCATCAGGTCAACAGAAATAGTAGCTAATTAGTCTAAGTTGAGGATGCTTGGGCCCCCTTAGTAAGCGCAGACTAAATATGTAACGCCTGAGTTGATACGCTTCAAGCGGCAAGTGGGATTTTGTCTTGTCTTGAGGTGAAACATCAAATATCAAATACCAAACTCCAGTGTGCTTCCTCCCTTCCTAATCCAGACGTGATTCGTGGTCAAAAAGGAAATTCATAAAACAGAATTAAAAAAAAAGAAATAAATGAAAAGCCCCTGGAAACGGGACGAGACCTCCCGAAGAAGTCTCCTGATCGAGCATGGTGCAGTGTCCCGTCCAAGAACCGGGTTCACCACTCATATTCACCAGTGGCCTTGTGAAAAACGTACTCCTTGCCGTTCACCGTAAGAACGCCGTCTTTAAGTGTACACTTCCTGTCATGGTATTAGTCACATTTGAATCTTTTACTTCGCTGTTTGACTGCCGTAATGCAATATTGACAAGTACTTACCACTTGTTCTTGACTCGCTGGACTTTGTCATACATGCATAGCATGATGTGACCAAGACCCTCGTCATCGACTTCATCCTCGTCTTGATCCTCATCAGGGTCGTCGAGATCCGAGTTAATAGCATCCTCATCTTCTTCGTCCTCATCCTCGTCTCCACCATCGTAAGCGCCCACTCCCTTACCCTTGTGACTTCTTGAAGCGGTGCTCTTGCTCTTGGCTGCTTCTTTCAAGGGTAGCATCAAGCCACCGCCTTCCATGTTGCGAGCCTGAGCGGCGATCCTGGCGTGCAGGATGCGGTCGATATCTACTCGACCGAGCTCATCCAGAGTGCCAGCCTCCCTCCGCCGGAAAAGGACGCCCTCAAAGTCCTCATCATCTTCATCTCCGGCACCATCGGTCTGTTGGTCTTGAACTTGCTGGGCTGCTGGCGGCTTGTTATTACGCGGCTGTGCTTGACCCGCAGGCGGCTGCGGCTGTGATGTGTTGCCCGATTGCGGCGTCTGTTGACCCATGCGATCTTGAATAGCGTTTATCGAGCCTGCGGCGCGTTGCCCATACTGAGCTTGCAACTGCTGCGCGGCACGATTCGCGGCGACGCTGTTGGAGTTGTCCAGGCCGTTGTAAGCCGGGTACTGGGGAATTGCTGAAATTTGCGTGCCTGGTTCCTCCTTGATGACAACACCAGGCTCTTCCTTGATATAGGTAGCACCGGTAGCGCCATTATGCGCATTAGTAGCAGCCGGGAAAGGAAGCTGAGGGTTGGTATAAGACTGAGCAGGTGGCTGCTGCTCTGCCGCAGCCGGTGTAGGCTCCGGTCTTGGATCCCAGGGGAACCTCGCGACATCAAGCTGAGTCAGCTTTTGCTGCCAAACCTATGGAAGTGATTAGCACTGAAATCGTTTTGTTTCATCGACCCGTCCAAGTTGTTGTAGAGGAATCGCAGCAAGTGAGTCACGTGATCGGCTTGACAAAGAGGGGGCGCGCAGACAACCAATCAGGCAGCGATGGAGCCAGGCAGCACAGGAATGGCTGGGTCCTTTCAGTTTAAAAAGGCCCAAATATCAGCAGCCCGCCGCCCCCTCTTCTGTGTCAGCGAGCATCCCCTCAGTCCCATCGCCTTACCACAAGTCACCAGCACAGACTTGTTCACGACGGTCGCTCTCTTCATCTCTCAACATCGAATTATGCTGCAATAATTCAAAAGCGCAAAACCGTCGACGTAGAGATTTTTGGCACTCCCAAGACTCTGCTGCGACCGGTAAAGCTGGCTGGGATGATGGAAGGAGGCAGTTCTCACCTGGCGCAGCTCCTCAAGGACCGACTCTTCCACGCCGCTCTCGTCAAAGTCGACGCGAGAGCCGTCGATGACTTCGTTGATGATCGTCTGGTAGACATTGCCGACAGCCTGGTTGGACATGGTGATATGTGACCCGTGGTCGACTTGTCGCTGGATTCAAGTTATCCGAGATCGCTTCCCTAACTTGCTTCGCAACGGTCCTCGGTCTGTTGGCGATGCACCAACAGGGTCGCTTGTTGATGGTTCAGAATAGAGATGGGAAGTGTAGCTTCCTTGTGCTCGAACTCGACAAGCAATAGTGCGAAGACTGAAATTGGTCGACGGGTTGATGGTGGCGCTCTCAACTAAGGTGCTGCTCGTCGGGCAATGAAGCAATGGCCTTCAGCTCAATGGATGGCGCAGCTGCGTTTCGTCAAAATATCGCGCCACAGGTGTATTTCTGGAGCCGGAAAATTGTAGAATCGTAAGGAATGCTGTAAAAGTCACCAGGACGCTATTTCTTGATGGCTTTAGAAGAACAAGCCTGTGCTGTTTATCTGGGTAATAGTGTGTGCACTGGAGAGAGTTGCTAAGCTCACAGCAAACTCACAGTTTCTATGCTGGCCGCATTAGTCATCTCCAGCACCAACGCCACCCACCACCCACTACCAAAATAGCGCCCACTGTGCTGGCAAGCGGCCGCCAGAGAGCACTGTATTTTTGCTGAATGCATGCCAATCAATAATTGGCACAATGGAACCAACACCAGGTACCGAATACTGACGTGCCGTGACCGATTCTGGGATGAGAATAAACTGCTTCGCAGCCTGACTTTGATTTTTAACTCTTCAGGATAATTCAATGTAAGACCATTCTGCCCTGGCCTGAAAACGTTGTCAATCCCCAAAATATAAAGGTAGCAAGCAAGACTCGCCACGGGTTAGAAAACACAATACTATATTCTTGCAAATTATCTATCTGGGTCCCTAAAACCTATTAAATCGAAACAAACATGACCATTCTCGAGGTATCGTGTCATTGCATCTCGTCCCAGGCCATCTATCTTGTGTGCATTCATTCATCGTGGAGAAGCGCTTTCGAACCACGTGCAGAAGGGCAGACAACAACTCCCCAACGCCGTTGAAAATAGAATCAGCCCATCCCACGAGACTTTCGCTTGTGAAGAGGGAGAAAATGCATACCTACCGTGTGGCTTTAAGAGCCCTATACTTATCGAATGGTCATAGACTTGGCCATTTCGGCCTTGCTTGATGAGCCAGAGGCGCCAATGCCGGCCGACGAACCAGCCTTCTTCTCAAAAATCTTCCAGAACTTCAAGCTCTCATCCGCAGCGGCGGTAGCGAGCATCTGGCCATCGGGGCTCAGGCAGCTGTGGAGGACACGGCTCTCGTGGGCAGGGATTTCGACATTGCGAACCAGGGTGGGATAACTCCAGACACTCAGAGAGTTGTCAGGGAAGCCAGAGGAGCTGACAATCTCACGGTAGTGAGGGCTCCAGCGGAGCGACGTCACCTGAGAACCAGTATCGATGCTGTTGACACGGGCACCCGATGTCGAGTTCCAGAAATGAATGTGGCGATCGTAAGAGCCCCCGCCGGTGGCCAGGAGGTTCATGTTCCAAGGGCACCAGGCAAGTGCCTTGACGGCGGCTTTGTGGTTGGTCTTCGAGAATTTAGGGACAGACAGTGAGCGGGCATCCCAGATAGAGACCAAGTTGTCGTTTCCACCAGTGGCGAGCTGGGCCCCATCAGAGCGCCACTCGAGGCCACAGACTTCTGAGGTATGAGAGACAAGCTCTGCAACCTTGTGTTCAGCAATGCGCACGTCGTGGTTGAAGACGAGACCGCTTCGGGCACCGGTGGACAGAAGATGTTTGCTCCAGCCCATCACACCAACACGGGTATCATGGCCGAACATGCTGCGAATCTTTTGCCCTTCAGAGACATCCCAAATCTGAACCTCACCCGTGCCAAGACCGACACCAACATAAGCGCCATCGTTAGACCATTTGACGCTGCTAACGTAGGTATCTGGGCTAGTCTCGAGCAAGCAGTTAACATTGCCCTCGTCAGCCGACCACACATAGACGTTGCGCTCAAGGCCAATGGCGACCTGGTTGCCAGTGCTCCAGTCGAGAAGATTGAGGTAGTAGTCGTCAATCAGACCAGGTGCGTCAAGAACGCGTTCAGGAGCAGTAGCAATGCGTCTGCGGATCTGAGCCGAGCTAACACCGACGGGCTTCAGAGGTCGGTTGTACTGCTGACGAAGGTCGATAGGCTTGGAAGACTCGGGAGGAGCAGGTTTGAACTCTAGAATGCGGGTATTGAGCTTGACGCCGCAAGCATCGGCCAAGGAGTCTTGATAGGCAACCGTGTTTGGTGATGGCTTGGTGTAAGTATCAGCCTCATCGCCATTGATGTCTAGGCGCTCAAAAGCAGAGGCAGCATCATCCGCCGCGGAGGCCAGGGTGGATGAGCCGCTCGTACTGGACTTGGGTCGTTGTCTCTCGGAAAGATCGAGCTTGCTAGAACCGGCGTTGGCAATGGCTGAGCTGGAGTTGCGATTCGGGATGAAGCGGTCGCCGGCGTAGTTGATGGTCGTCTTATTAGACTTTTGGCGGAGAGAGCCCTTCTTGGACTTTGTGCTAGCAGGGGTCTTTGGAGCGCCGGTTCCCGTCAAGGTATAATCAGAAACGCCGAGCTCAAAGGCCTTGCGGGGCGTTTGTGCACCAAGAGCAATATTGGACTTTGGGGATCCACGGCTGGAAGCCATGGATACGGAGCGCGAGAGATGTGACATAAGGTTCCCGCCGTATGCGGACTTGGAGCTTTTACGAGCATCTTTCTTTCCCGACCCATCAGGGGTACATGGAGAGGTATTGAGGTTCACAGGAGCGGTGGTCGTCGTCGATTGCTGGTGGGGAGACGGTGTAAGTGGCATTCGTCCCCCAGCAGTGCGAGAGGAGAAGAGCCCCTTGTGGGACTTGATCGGTGTCGATACCACGGCTGTCGACATTGTCAAGATCTAGGAGAGGGTTTTTTTTCTTTGCAAGTTTATTGTCGAGGGAGGTCGGGTTGCGGAGGATTTCAATGTAAGTGACGTAGGTATTGCGGAAAAATCAAGCATCGACGCAAACCAACACAAACTTCAAGACACTCGAGTTTGAAGTTCTGGTCTGCGAACACTTTTCTTCGATAGGGAAGAAAAGCCAAGGGCTTCGATTCTCGACTCTGGTGAGAATGCCTTGACCGAACAAGCCAGGGCTGGCGGAGCGTCAGACGGAGGGTGCAAGTCGGACGTAACAATTTTGGAAACGATTTCGGAGTTTTGGTGCAAAGAGGAACGTAGTAGTCTGCAAGTAAGCTATAATAGCTTTAAACTGAACGTGCAAAGGATATAGATGGGTTCTTTGGCATGAGGGTGAATAATGGTGGATTGGCATGTCGACCAGTTGCACTCGATTCACGGCTACTTTTTATTTACTTTGAGCCCCACCATCGCTCTGTCCAGGCAACGAGCCAAGACCCTGTCGAGCGGCCGGAACAATGCGGAACATAGTTAGTCCGTTGATGCGCCCGTCTCTCATCCGGGGCTTGGTTCCGGCTAAACCGAACAGGGCTTAAAGTGGGCCCGTCGAGACAGAGCCCCCTGCATGGGGCCGGCTTTTAGTGGAGCTACGTAATTTTGCTAAGCGGACACTCTTTCTTCTACGGGCGGCTACTCTGACCGACGCTTGTCACCGGCATTTGCAGCATTGCGTGCCTCTCGTCGCATTGTTTCACAGGCAGACAAATTGTTATCATCGTCTCAATCAGAGATTTATCACCAAGGGTTCAGAATTGCGCCTTTTCGCCTCGCGTGTTTTCTATGCACCGGCGATCTGCCATGGGAGGATAGTGGCTCTCCAGAGTCCTTTGGCATGGCGCAAACAACTACCCCGGCTGCCCAGACTCCAAACTCTATCTTTGGTACTGGTGATAGCATCTCGCAGCTTGATACATCCAGCCAGCAGTCCGTGGTCATGATGGCTGCTCCATCGCCTCCGCCGGCCCTCCCCGACTCCCACAACACTTACATCATGGCCAATTCCCCCGCCAAAGCCCGGCCGTCTGTCGATGGCTACAGACCCAGAGTCACGCGTACTCTGGGCCAGCGACCGGCATGTCTTGTCAATGCATCCGTCACGTACTGCGGCAACAATCAAATATATGCTTTCGGTGGCTTTGATCAGTATACTGACGAGGTGTACAACCATGTCTTGCGACTCGACCTTGTCAGCCACCAATGGAGCCTGGTCGACAACTATGGTGACATCCCGGGTGTGCGCATGGGTATGTCGTCCCACCACCCAATCTCAACCACTGCTTGCTAACTATACCAAAGGACATACTGCGACACTTTACCAAGGCGACAAACTACTAGTCTTTGGCGGCGAAAACGAACACCGCACTTATCTCTCCGACTTGATCATCTTTGATTTGAAAACCGCACACTGGACACAACCAGCAGTCTCTGGCCCCATTCCAAAGGGCAGAGCGAGACATGCCGCCACACTACACGAAGACAAACTGTTCATCATTGGCGGAATTACTGGCACAAACAACTATGTCCTGGATGACCTTTGCTACCTCGATTTGAAAACATTTACATGGTCTAAAACTTGGCGCTTTATTGGCCGCTTTGATCATTCTGCCTACATCTGGGGTGGGCGTCTCTGGGTGTTCGGTGGACTCAGCGAAGACATGGACAAGGTTAGCGACATGTGGTGGCTGGATCTGAAGGGCGTACCAGAGTTCGACTCACGACCTCAGATCGGCGTCTATGATCGAGCCACTAGCGGCAATCGAACCGATTCTCCCCGGCTGCCACACACAATGGGCCACAACCCTGCAGTCGGAACGACGGGATACGCTGCCAATTCGCGTACTGCCCAGGTCAACCCCCCCTCAGTGCAGCTGAAGTATCATGCGCCTATGGCTCCGGGTGCTATATCTGCTCTCAAATTTACCTCGGGCCCTAACAGTCCGTCACAAGGTTCCGGTATTCATTTTCACATCTATTCCTCGGGCACTTTGCTCGACTTTGTTTCACCGGCTGCCACCATCACGCATCGAGAGTGCTCTCTGTCCGCGCTTGACTTGACCACATTACGATGGCAAAAGCTAGCAGATGGCCATGAAATGTTCAAATCAGGTTATCGATGGCACTATTGTACTATGAATGAAGATGGCACAAAAGCCTGGCTCCTCGGCTGTCCTCTCGATCCCGTCGGGCCAGAATTCGGACCTGGGGGCTACGAGCTATATCTTAGGTGAGTTGAACTACTTGTGCCATGATCACCCCGCTAACGGTACTCAGTGATGTTATGGAAGTTGACCTTCGGCGGTACGGCCTTCTTGGAAACAATCTAGCGCCGCAGCCCAGTGTCGAAACACGACCTTCGGCCTTGACCCGGCCTCTAGACCAGCCTTGTCAAGGTCTTGGCGCAGACTTGGCAAAGACGTTTGATCAGCCACCCGAGACGGGTAGTGGTGCAGACTTTATCATCACAGCGCTGGCGGATGGCGCGGAAGATGACGAATTGCTCAGCTCGGGCCTGATCCGCAGTGCCGAAGAATCTACCCAGAACTGGCTTGCACCTGATGCCACCACATCACGGCCCATTCATGTGCACAAGCTGATTCTGAAAGCGCGCTGGGCTCACTTTGCAAGACTTTACAACGCCCAGATGGCCGAATATCATACAAAAAAGATGCATATCCCAGAGCCCTACCCTGTTGTGCGTGCATTCCTGCTCTACTTGTACACGGACAGCATCCACGGCACCGTCGAGGCTGGAAGCGACTCCGTTACCGGCATCAGCGAGGTTGCCGGCCTGCTGGTCATGGCCAATATGTATGGCATCCCGCACCTGCGGCTGCTGTGCGTCAACCGCCTCGCTAAGGAGCTCGCCGTCGAAAACGCCTGCCTGATATGGTACTCGGCCGGCCTCGCCGATGAGGAGTGGCTGCGCAAGCGGGCGGCAGGACTGTGCATGACGCACTGGGGCCGCGTCGTTCGCACGCAGGGCTTTTTGCAGCTGCCTCGACACGCGCTCGTCGAGCTCTCGCAGGAAATTGACATGGAGGGTCGCATCGTCGCCGGCGAGGAGCTCGAGTGGTCCAGCATGGGCGGCGGGCGCTACCTGGACGACCGCAAAAACAGCGTCGGCAGCAACCAGCACGCCGAGTCGGAGGCGGACGACGACGACGGCATGGAGATGAACTAAGGCGGCGTCAATTCGTCGTCGCCCTACCCGCCCTTTCGTTATGACATTCTCTCAGTCTAAGCGCCTGGACATGAGCACTGCCGACACCCGCCAAGTCACGTCTCAAGAACAATTCCTGACGTTTTGTACAGGAGCAAAAGTTTTTTTGACGCAATGCTTTCACTGTACACAGATAGATGTATATGTCTCTTTCCTGTCTATTTTCATTCTCGAATGCGTTCTCGCTCTCTCTTTTTACATACCATCGCTGCATTGTTTTGGAGTTTGGCTAGCTACTCATCACGTCAATGTTGTAGCTTTACGTTTGTTCGCTTACATTTCGTCCTCTCTACCCGGTCTGGTTGTTTGAATGAGTGCAGGATACAAAACATAGGGTTGCGCATCCATCGTCACAAGGCCACGTGTATGCATGCATATTTCAAAGAAAATAGAAGACGCAATAGATTGATATCTGGAAATCAAAAACGGACTCGAAAATTAAGACTGACCAAAGTTCTTTTGTGTAACCATTCTCCTGTGTTAAAAGCACATAACGAAACCAAAACACAAAACCAATACCGGACAAAGTAACAAGACCAGACAGCCAAAACGATCAACAAGAAAAACCAATAATCCAGTAACGCATCTCTTTCCCTCATGATATTCCACTGTCTTCTGCAAAACAAGGGACACTATAGGAACCAATCTCCCTTCTTTCGTGTGTTCGAATACGGAGATTCGTTCGCCACCAAATTTTCGAGGGTATTGTCCGCTTTGGGCTCACGTTTTCATGACCCTAGACGGAGCCAAAAACGGCGACATTGTAGCAAATCCGGGCGGACCAGGAAGAGTTCTAATAAGCTGGCTCAATCCAAAGAAACCCAAGGCGCTGCTGGCGTAGCAGATTGACGACAAATACCAAGAACCCCGATTCAGTCGAGGTGAAGAAGAATGAAGCGAGTAACATGTGAAGAAGATAACATTCCAGCCGCGGTGTGCGTGTTCCGTCTCCCTTGGCACTCTGCGGCGGTGATGCGCGGCACGAGAGGCTGCGAGCCGTCACCTCGCACGAGGCAACTTCATGCGCATCAGTCGACAAGTAAGCTATCCAGAATTTGATCCGTAATTTGAGGCGACGCATGTTGAATAACGCGGTAGCTGAGTGGGAGGGTGGGGGCTTATTCAAGACCGCGTCGAGAGTGTGGCAGCAGATCGGCACGGAACAAACTGGCCTTTTGGGAATCGTAAGATATCAAGTAAGAGACAAGGAGCCGTTTCAGACACTGCCCATTATATGGCAGTCTGTGCGTGTTCGGCGTTGCCACCCTCAATGGAGGCCAGAGACAAAGTGCAGGAAACGCCGTTGCAATGAACCGTAAACCGTAAACCAAAGGGAATACCTAGAAAGCCATGAAATCACTTTTGTAGACCAAAATGAAAGACCAGCCTATTGGGGCCTGCCCCCAAGAATCTTTCCGACCTCGTCAGACCGTCAAGGCTAATCGAAGTCGATGTTGCATATTTTGCAGCTTTGTACAGAGAGATGCACGTGGCCAGCATGCGTATTTATATCGGTGGCGGCGTCTTGAACACCACTCGAGATGTTGATTAGCGGCCTCATTGGGGGTGAGCGTCTTCGTGGATTCCAGGCAAGGTCAGTCCAGCAGCCATAGCCTGTATCTTGAACTCGGGATTGCAAGGTAGCGAATGGGCCTTGTGCTATGAGTGGTGTTAGAGGATCATGTATAGGTTGCTGAGGAGCACGAAACGTACGTATTTGAGACCGTTGAGGTTCTTGTATCGCTTGCCGCAAGTCTCACAGTTGAAGGGCTTTTCCTTTTCCATACCAAGAGTTCCAGGATACGGCGCACTTGTTTCGGGGTTAACTATGGAAAATGAGCCGTCTCCGTTCTCATGCAGCTGCTGCGTCTGATGGCCGTGGGCTTTATGATATCTAAAGAGCTTGGTCAGTCACGCTTGTCATGGTGGTATACTAAGAATAACATACTTGAGTCCGTTTTGATTCTTGTATGCCTTTTCACATCCAATGACTGGGCACTTGAATGGCTTATGCTCCTCGGGCATCATCATGGTTTGCAAGCGCTGGAGTAGCATTTTATTTGTCTCGGGGTCGGCAAACTGGCCCTGAGTAAGACCGAGCTGGGCGAGCTGGGCCTGAATCGTGCGGTTGCCACCAGGTGGGAAAGCGCCATTGGGGCTGAAAAGATGTTTCCCAGGATCGTTGATACAGAAATTCGAGTCTTCTTCTTCAGGATTGCCGTTGGAAAAGTCCATGTCAGAGATAGTATTGCCATTGACGCCCATGGGCATAGCGGGAAGCCCGCCTTCCATTTCATCCATGCCACCCATATGCGCAACACCTTGCGAGAGCTGCTGCTGCTGCTGAGTCGTAAGGGTGGGAGTATTGACGGAAGAGACGGTGGGATTGTTCTGCAAGCCAAAGCTAGCCACGGCCGGTGTGGTGGGCTGAGAAGTGCGGAGAGCTTGGGGAAACCCGGCATTTGACATGTCGAGTTGAGGTCGCTGCTGCTGGCCAAACATCTGTCGTGTGTGCGTCATTCGGGAACTGTCGTCCAGCTCCATGGTTCCAACCGCATCATCCATCTCCATGTCTGCGACAGCATCCATATCATCATGCATGTTGGCATTGAGAGCGTTCATCTGGACATTGTCGAAGCCCATCTGGAGCTGGCCGTGCTGCTGGCCAAAGCCCTGCAAGTTGCCCTGACCGGGAGTTGGAGTGGTCCGAGAGCTGGACATTTGTGAGCTGCCTGGCATGGCCATCTGGTTGCCGAATTGGCCAAAGGCATTGTTGCGAGCAGTGTTGGGGCTTGGTTGGGTATGCGCCTCTTCGTAATGCTGAAGCAAATCGTGCAGGTTGGGAAGTGTCTTGCCGCAGCATGTGAAGTCTCTCATGAAGTTGGCTTCGAGCCTGGGAAGATAGGACGAGGAGTGGAATGAAGACGAAGGCTGACCACTGACATTGCCGAATGCGGGGGAGGTGCCATGCATCATGACGCTGATTAGAAAGATGTGTGTTAGTTATGTGGCACAATGTATCGGTTGCGACACCTGAAGAGGCACCCCGCAGCCAAGAAAAAAAAAAAGGTGACATGGTGCCTGGCACAGACGGTGGAATGCAGTGTGGCAGCCGCCAGGTAGCCAGTGCACGGTCGCAAAGCATAGTGAGGCTGACAGATGGTCATAGAGTGCGTAGAGACAGTACAGGAATGGCTGGCGACGGCATCGTGACTTCGTTGCAGGGCATCGGAGGTAGAGTTGGCCGGTGTTGGGTGAGGGGCATTTTACTTACTCATCGCGGACAAAACTGCCCAAGGACATGCCGCCCCAGCTCAGGTTGTTCATGAGACTGCCGGCGAGAGACTCTCTGCGATTGCGGCCAACCGTATCGCGGTTCTGGTTGTTGAATGAGATGGGCTTTGGGCCGGTGCTCACAAAGGAGTCCTGCCGTGAGCGGCCCATGGGACCGGCCGTCATGTCTGTATCGGATTGGTCGCAATCGACCCAGCTGTTATCGTCGTGGTGGCGAAGGGAATCGAGGAGAGCGGTGGACAAAAGAGAGTCGCGCGCGGAAGAAAATTGTCGAGTAGTCTTTTCGCGAGAATCGTAAGAGAGATGGTGATGATGGGAGGAAGAGGATGGAGGATCGGGTGGCGTGGCGGAATGGGTGGCGGGGGCTGGCTGGGCGCTGAAGAGAGCGCTGAAGACTGGAGAAGCGGGCATTGCAGTGGGCTTTGCACTGGGTGTGGAAGCGGGCGCCGCGGCGGAACTTGTCCAGCCAGAGTCGGAGCCAGACACGCCGCCGCTCTTCGTGCTTTTGTCCGTCGCAATACTAGGACCCGTGCTAAGAATATTCGTCCATGCAGTGCCTGCAATAATATTGCCTGAATCTGCACCCGTACCTCTACCTGCTGCACCTCTGCCGGTCCCAGCTGCCTGATCGCGGCCCCCGACGCTGTTGCCGCTACCGGGTTGGGCGGCCTTTGCCTGCAAAGTCCCAGCTAATACAGATACGGCTGCCTTGTTCCCAGAGGCCTGCTCTTTCTGATGCTGCTCTGCCTGGGGCCCTGGTGCCGCCCCCCCAGCGCCGCCGCCGAACCACTTTAGAGCGCTCTGCATCGCTTTCTCGCTCGCTGCACTGTGCCTTGCCTTTGGCTTCTGCGCTCTCGTGGAGAATTGCTTCGATGGGTATTCGATCGTGTAAGATGTATCGTGATGCTTCGTATTGGCGTCTTCGTCGCACTTGATGCTCGTCGGTGCCGTAGGTATCTCCGTGTAGTCTCGTCTCGCTATCTCCTGATCTCGGTCACGATAGTCTCACTCTCGCTCTCTGCTTCAAACACGTCTTCGCTGCTCCGGGACGTAATGCAGAGTAGTGAGAAGGAGCCGCCCCAAGACCCTGTTCCAAGGGGGGGACAGCGGTAAGAAATACGGTCAGGGTGGAGTGGTGCCAGGAATCAGTTGGCCCAGTCACCCCAGATGGAATCCCTGTTGAATCGCGAGACGACACGGCTGCCGACCTTGAATGCTGTGCACCGGGTTGTCCTCTTGGGCTTGGTTCGGGCGCACTTGTGACCTGGTGTAACAGCCCGGTCCAGTCTGATGTCGTCCCGGAGGCGCGCCGTGCGTTATTCACTATTCAGTGCTGGGGACGCTATCCGCCCCTCTGCGACCTTGTTGATGCGCCCGCACTGGCCTATTGTTGGGGTTCTTTGGATATGCAAGTAATGGATGTCATGGGCCGTAATAAGGCTTGGATACTAGATTGCCCTGGTTCGGTTTGGTGTAATAGTGGCCCGCCTTGGTTTCGATGACTGGCCCTATCGTACAAGCAACAATGCGTGATGGCTTGTGGCGTGCACACTGTGTAAGTCGAGTGTGGGTGTGTGACTGTTCGTGGCTCGGTTTATGGAGATGCCAGAGTGTTCGATCAGTCGCGCCGGCGGTGAGTCAGACAAGGAAAGACTATTCTGAGCATCACCCGCGATGGCTGCCTGGGCGAGATCTAGGTGGGCGAAGCGCCGGCCAGTCGCAGTTTGGGATGACGACGACGATGCACAGTCGTGCTGATTTAACACTCTCCAAATACCCTTAAGCAAGACTCGCGAGGCTGTATCATAGACATGCATATGCAGCGGATAACGAGTTGGTGGCGTGTTTTCTCGGTGACATATTCGTGTACTTGCACTGTGCAGCTGCCAGCAAACGCATCACCTTGCTTTGCCTCGCATTTCCACTACTCGTTTGCTCAGCCTCTTCTTTACACGCTCGCCATGCGCTTAATTGAGCTTGCCGCTTGCTCGACAATCTGCTAGTAAATGACGGGGGCAAACAAAGCTTAGGCCATGGGGGGCGGAAAGAACTCTATAATCCGTTTCTTTCTTGATGTCTTTTCCACCGCCGATACTTTTGGAAACTAAGGTACCTCATTTGTCGCCTTCACACTAACACAAACGGCTAACATACTATGTATTCAAGGTCAAGTCTTCTCGTCTTCTATCCCTCCCTGGCTGGAAGCCATTTGTCAAATAAGGCAATACCTCTGACGCTGCTTGCTAATCGTCGTTTCCCGTCTAGATTCCATGTACGTCTGCCGATGACGAAAGTGCTGTGGCAAATCGACTCAGACTACGCCCGACGAGTGCCACGCCACCCAGCCAGCTTAACAGCTGAATCAATTAATATTTTTCTCGACACATCCAAATCCAAAGACCACCTGCCGTTCGTTTTGCCCTGGGCCGCATGCATCTGCAACACCATGCAGTTCGTACATCTACTATTGACGGAGCTAGTGAGCGTAAAGTTTGGCCTGTTCTCTGCTCTGCTAGTTGGCCGCCAAGCCATTCAGCCGCCTCCAGTTAATGCCACCGCTAATCTACCCACGCCCGCCACACAACTCAGTTCACCGGGCTGACTACTGGCTGGCGCTGCCACGCAATGAACCGGGCTGGTCAGTGGTTGCCAACCCGGCCAGCCTCAGACAGCGTCGACCAACAATGATACTCGTCCGGTTATTAGCGCGGAATGCCGAATGCACCCCGAAAGGCCAGAAATAGCCACAATGTCGTGATTCGTGGCTCGGCCTCTGCTCGAGGTTGTCCCGCATGTCGTCTGCCGTCTTCCGCTTGCAGCGACACCCGCTGCTCTGGCTACCCATTTTGCCATCCATCATTGCGACGGTGTCTTTAAGGCGAGTACTCTGTATTTCGCTTCCTGAGACAGCATACATTATTATCGGATCGAATTCCGTCGGTGATCCTACCCTCATTCGCCACCGGAGTTCCGAGAGTCCCCTTTACAGCGAATGTTTCATCCGTCGATGGTTTTCTGCCGAGCTGCTGTTTTCGGCGGCGCCAGCTATGTTGGTGTTGTCCACTCGCGCTGCCATCTGTCACCAGTAGAGAGTACTCTGAGGGACATAGTATACGCCTAACACTTTCGAAACAGAGCAACTTTTACAGTGGTGTACTAAGAAGGCTCTTTCTTGGTCACGTTCGCTTGGCTGACCAGTCAAAATTCAACACGAATCGGTGATGCATTTCTTCATATAGACACGCCAAATGCCTTCCCTTGATGCTTCTGATCTTCTGGGGAAGTTTGGGCCTAGGTACTCAGTGATAAGTGGAGACGTGGTGCTGCGTCTCAGGACTACCTACTTTCAAGGACCACGTCGAACCCTACCATGAAGATGAAAAGAAGCACAGAGACCGCGCTACGGCACAAGGAAAGGCACCAGAACAAAGTACTCTCTTGCTGTGACCTCCATCGCCCCCATCGTCTTCTTTGTCCACTCATAACTACAGGCCGGGAAATAGCGGTCTAAGTAGTCTGCGCGCACTAAGCTGCTCATCTTCGCCTCATCAAAGAGCATCAGAGGGTGCTGCCACCAATATCAGGCATTATTAACAACTGCAGCAGGGCGACGCTCCACATTCTCCTTGCACGTTGCAACTTGCTCGGCCCTAGTCGCTGTTAATCGACTTGTCCCGTATAATAACCCATCGTCTATACTTATATCATGTCTGTCCCTTACCTTTGCCTATGAGGAGCGACGTCCTGCATGGCGCTCTCCATTCTGATGCACGTTAGTGTGTGGCTGCTGCACGACGGCGTGGATATTTCTGCATGTCTGCCACCGCCCACTTCGCTAGCAAGGATATTTGGCAAGGACTAGCAGGCGGCGACCACTCTCGACGGCTCAGAAAGGGCTCAGAAAGGCACCATATCAGCTCACGGCTGTGTTCAATATTTCCTGTGACAGGAAACACTGAACTAATTGAAGCAGGAACCGAGTGACACGCAGCGGCGTAACCCTTCCTGCCTGGCACAGGATCTGGGAAATGTACAATGTCACGTACATGCAGCTGCAGCGAGGGAACCGCACAATACTCAAGTGTGACAACCAGATTGACCGATATTCCGCATTTTTGGTGGAATGCCTGCTGGGGGTCACGCGGAAATTTAGCCAATTGCTTGTCAGCGCCAAACTCAATCTAAGCTTTTATTGCGCAAGCTCAAGATTACCTCTCAGTTGTTTCCTTTTTGCGCTACGGCAAACGAATCTGAGTATCCCGCGTGCTTGCTTATTCTCCCGTTTCCGCTTTATCTCAGAGGCATTGGGGTTCCGGACCACCTCGGCGTGACTTCTGTCGCAGCCTATCGTGGCAGGCTGTGACGGCCCCAAGTTTATGAAAAAGGCTCATTGCGTCTTGCCTCTGGCTCCGTCGCCGCAACCGTTGCCTCGCTGCCACATGGGTGACCCTGTTTTAATGTGGGTGGCTACGGCCGCGCTGTCTTGGCCGCGGACCGTCCTGAGTCATACTCTGGGCGGCAACTCGAACAATCTGGCGACTCTTGGGTTGCAGCCCAATCCTGACCTCATGAAAGCAAAAAGACAGAAAGCCTGGCGACAGCACTCCGGCTCTCGCCATACTCATACCAAGCCCGGTATAGTCGGAAACTCGCTCTCAAGTTTGAAGCATGTCCTATTTGCTACGGCATGTGCCGCGAGAGGGTCCTGTCCAGCCCTCATCAAATAGTCTCGAGGCGAGCCTCCGCAATTTAGCTGGAAACGGCTTCGATGCTATTCCTATAGGCGCCCCTGATTATTGTTCTCATGCTCTCACGTCCTCGCCAGAAACGGCCACCGCACTGATGGAGTTGATGACGTAGCTTAACATTCGCAATCTTCAACTTGTTACAGGGCAAGAAAGTACAAGGGGAGGTGTTGCCACACTGGAGCATTCAAGAGGCAGGGACGATGTGCTTGTACAAGAGTTTGTAGCCATCAGTGCTATAAGCACTCTACAAGTCTCCAACTACCGCCAAGTACCAGCAGATCTGGCCTCGAACAAAGTCTCACAAGTGATTTAGCGTCCCGATGGCCGTTGTTGCCACTATTAATGAGGAACCTGCATGGAAGGAATGGAGACGTTCTACATGGCTTCCAAGACTCGAAACGAAGCAGACGTCGCGGGGCGCTTTGGCCATGATCCATTGAACTGGAAGCAGCCAGCAGCCAATTGCTGCGCTGCCCTTTTATTAAAAAGTGGTTCGCGGCGCCGAGAATGGAGCTGGCTGTTATGTTTGTGTGGATAAGGTGCTGCCAGACTCGAATCAAGACTCAAGAGTGAGCGAGAGTGCCAACAGTGCGTGGATCTGGTGGACTCTTCTCTTGGTCTAACTACTGACGATAGACAAGACGGCACAACGGCAACCCCATCTGCCCATGTGAACCTGTCGCGTGAGACACAACTGACAAAGGGAGACGTGGGTATTTGTTGGTTTCATCCACCCCCTAGGAATGATAATGATGGGCATGTATATTGAACTTGAGCTCCAGCCAATTTGAGATCGGCACAGGCCCAGCAAGGCATCGAGCCGGCAGCCCCCCCAGGTCTTGAAAGAAAATCGACCAGCACCTATCCGGCCGGGAGGACGCGGCTTGACGGCGCCGACTGTTGCTGCTGTCCTCGACTGAACCAAGCAGTGGGCTCAGCTTCGACGGGCGAAACAAGTCTGCCCAAGAGCCGCTGGCGAGAAAGCCTCAAACAAATAAACCGCTGTTCGCATCAAGATCGGCCCTATTTTTCTGTTGCAGTGACAGCTAGATGGGGTGCTTGGCAGCCCAACTTTTCGGGTATTGTAATTTGTAACGGCGCCACACACCAGACACCCAACGACAGCATTTGCCCGCCGTGGGCGTCGCCCTGAAGGACGCATCTGGCAAAAACGGCTGGTCTGGTTTCATCGTCGCGTCGCCCCCTGCGAAAGGGCTAATTATAGAGTCCTCCACATTCACAGCAACAGTCAAGAGCAGCGTTAACAACAAGAGAGCGAACGATTGTTGTCCGTGAGCCGTGAAGGCGACAGTGGCGGAACTTGAATGTTGTTCTTGGCCGCGGTCTCAGGCCGGCCGTTTTACGAATACGTGCCTTTTCATTTTCCGGTCGCTCGTATCCTGCTTCACGCACAGCGTTCAGCGGAGGCGGGAGCCAAAACATGTACACCATGACGAACTACTGGTATCATGGTGTAGCGTGGTACCGGGGAGGAGGCAGTCGAGGAGCATGATGAGGTGTTGATCAGAGCTTAATCGTTGAACCTCATAGGCATGCTGCTGCTGCTACTACTGCTGCTCGGTGTCACCGGCTGCTCACCGTCGGATTCCCACCCTACTTACCCACCTCTACCAAGGCTGGAGATGGGCGACCGCTGACATGAGCTCCAGTAGCCTGCGTGCCTGCCTTTTCTCCTTACCTCGACTTGCCTTGGCATTGGTACTGGCGCCTGGCAATGCTACTCCATGCAATCCGACCCTGCGCGAGACTCGGCGGCTTCCGACGACCTAGATGCTGTCTTTACATGCCGACCTGACGGGGATTTGTCTGTCCTCTAGTTAATATTGGACGGGGACAGGCTCTGTTTGGTTTGATTGGATGCAATGCGTGGCCGCTGTTTGATCCCTTTATTTATTTGTCGTATTTTGTCGGAACCCCCCAGGCGGTAATGACACTGTGTTAGTGGCCAAGCTGCTGCTATCCGCAGCGTTGTTCATCGCCAAGCTAATAATAAGATAGTGGGGGGACGCTGCTGTACGAGGGTATGACCGCATATTGATTGAGCAATTGCTCATCACGAGACTGGCAATCCATGCCAGAGAGCAATGCCTGTTTTTTATTAGACCATGCTTGAATAGCATCCGTCTGCGTCATCAACACACGTGCAAGCACTGTGAAGCTGCCCTCGTGGCGGGCGCACCTAGACCTGGTGAGGCGTTGGTGTATATCGATTGGCGCCAAGTCCCGCAGAGCCTAGAACTCAAAAAAGGCATGCGGCTCCCCCGTTGATAGTAGCATACCTAGCTGGAGCCGGCGGGCCGCGAATATCGTGTGTCGGCCAAGGGCGGACAAGTCACGGACTCGCTATTACACATGGGATCTCGCTCTGCTGGTACTAGTTACCAGTGACTGTCTCTTCTTGAGGTGCTCGAGATGGCCCACTCGCCACGGAATGAGAACGCCTTACCTGCTATATTTCCGTGTCTACATAATAGGTTGTAGAACCCAGTGGAGTGATTGACTACCCTGTTGCGTTGTTGTTTGATTTTGTCGAAGGTCTTTGCTAGACTACCTGTTTTTCTCGAGGTCGACGACGAGGAACGTACGATTCGTAAAAGGACAATGAGTTTGTGACCTGAAAAGGTAACTTTGATGCGAGGCCGAAATAAGTCCAGTAAATAAAGTGAATGACAAGGCAAAGGGGCAGGCATCTTGGACGTTGGATAGAACTTTCTTCGTGTATTCGCTCAAATCAAGCACGTCTAGTAGCCGTTGCACGAAAATTCTACACATCTAGAATTTTGAAAGCGGTCATCGATTTCTCGGGCCATGTAGATTGGCATCTCAATACTCATGACAGCCAAGTCCGATTTGTCTCTGGCAAGATCCTGATCCGAGAGGCACCGTTACCATGCGACCCTCGTGCCCGCTAGTTCAAGTCTACTTTCGCGTCTCACCTACCCTTTGATTCTCTTAATTTCTTCTTCCTCCATCCTTTAGATCCTTTGCTCTCTTGTATACTCTTATTGTCTGTCTCGAAAATTGGTCTTGTTCACCATTCCTCATATTGCAGTCAACCACTTTCCACATCTTCTCTTCATCGTCTCTCAACTTGATATGACACGAATGACGGCAAATGCTGGCTTCTCTGCTAATTTTTATCCAAATGACCTCGAATCAGCAGGGCACACGAAATGTATACCTCATCAGAGCCAAAGTCTAATTCAGGATGGATAAGCGATGGATGAGTTGCGGCGTCATTTCAGGAAGCGACCAACCATTTGTGACGATGACCTACACGTCGAATCTCCGGTTGAAAGCCATCATATCACATTGTGGCCGTCTTCAAAGAACCGGTGAGCGGCGATGAACCTCCTTTGCTACGTGGAAATATTTTTCTGATAGTTTTTGGTCACAGAAAATCTGCGATTTGAGAGTGCGGTTGTTCTCAGCTAGCGACGGGCGATTGCAGAACAACTCCCTCCGAAGCTGTCAAAGCACGAGCGTGATGCTGGTCAATACCCATAGAGTGACGGTTGATGCAGCCATTGACTCTATTCGTGAGTGAGATTTCTCATGTGCTCTCGCTGGTGCAGCCTGCCACCACGACACTCGGCTAATTTATGCTTTTGTCGATCTGCTTGCTGATGCGCAAGCTAATGAGTGGTTCGTGCAGTTGAGCAGCTTTGTAAACGATAACGGTCGATCATGTTTATAAATGCCAACGGTCGATTGCATTGACTCAGACTCGAGGCCCCAAACTCACCCGTTTTTTTTTTTTTGGAAAAGGATGTTGCCGTCAATGTCAAGCGATTCATGCCGGAGATCCACGGACTTGCTATTTCCAAGCAAATGGGTATACATGCGCGCAGTGCGAGTCCTGAAAAAAAAACGACGGAGATTCTTGCTCTTTGCTCAAACGTAAAAAACCAGAAAAAAAAAATCAATCTGTGCAGCAATT